ATACCTTCGGACCGACACCAGTGGCAGGCCTATCCATTTCAATGGAGACTACTTCACCTTCGAGAACCTTAAAAGAATTCATCTTGGGACGATAGCAATAGTAATCAAGGAATGTCTGAAAATAACCTCAGTCTCCTCTTTGATGCGTACTCCTATAGCTTTGCGGAAAGATTGTGTTAAAGCTTCACTTTTGCTCATGTCCACAGAGAAAATTTCGGAAGCGGACATAGACACAAAAGGAGTATCTTTGCCAAGAGCTTTTGCAATCCCCATGGCAATAGCAGTTTTTCCTGTGCCTCGTTGACCGTATATGAGCACACCTCTTCCAGCAATATTACCACTCTGAAAAGCAACTTTACTTCATGTGGTCAGCAAAACGCAAAAACGCGTGTAGCTTACCTGCACCATCTTGACAACAATTGCTGCAGCTTTCCTTGCTTGAATTTGTCCAACCATACCGTCTGAAGTATCCTGGGGATCGAGGTTTGGGCCAACACCGAGACCTCTTATGTGAGAATGGGCTCCGATACGCTCTACACGCACGACGCTTCGCAGCTCCACATCACCCACGAGAGCCATTTCGGAAGACCTAGGCTGCAGTACCGTCAATTTCACATTAAACCTTCTGAATGCACAACATGCGCCTTCCTTTCGTTAACGGCAATTACCCAACACATGGTGTGCAGTCTACCGTACAACGCAGGTAAACCCGATTATAGTAGAAAAAAGCCCAAATATAGTAAAAAAAAATATGTCTGACGTCAGTGACAGGTACTTGAACATTTGCCAGCACAGTGACAACATTATTTATTACAACGTATAGAAGTGATAAGTACTTGAAAATTTACCAGCACAGCGACAAAACTATTTATTACAACATCTGAAATGTACGGGAGCTATTACTCAGACATAACAAATAACTGCTTTTTGACGAACTGAACAGAAGCCGCTTCGATAGCAGCGGCATGATCTTCAAGCCGTCGCTTTTCGAACGATGGCGAGCGGAATTCTCCCGATTTGATCCATCCTCCCAATTCGGCATACATTTTTTTACGTTCCTGACAGGAGAAAACAATGAAGAACCTTACATTCGCGGAAAGAATGAAACGCTAGTAGATTTGAAAAGTACTACTGAAAATGCATAAAATAGTATATAAACTACCTCAGTGTTACCAGGTTGCTCATACCACCGTGACATCCAGTACCCTGCCAAACGGATATCTTTAAATATGAGTGGACCTGTTGGAATCTGAAACAATGCTACATAATGGAAGAAAAAAGTCAAGAAGTAGCTTTCGAAAACCGAAGAGACTTGCCTGTAATGGCATTTTGCTCATGCCTCCATAAGTTACCATGCAACCACGAAATCCAAGTGTAGCAGCAAGAAACATGGTAGACTTACCACCGACACAATTCAAAGCAAGACGCACGTCTTTGATCTTCCCACTAGAGAGTCACCTGTTAGATCATAAATCAATACAGGTAAGAAAAAATTATTACCGGTATTCCTTAGCGAGCTGCTCATCGGTGATTACTTCATCGGCTCCTAATTCCTTCAATTCCTTGACTAGATCAGCGAGATTGTCTCTTTTACGAACAATATTCACCGAATGAATGCCACGCAACCGGCATATCTGAACACATACATGTTTCGAAAAGGATAAAAACGGATTTCGAAAGGTATGTATTCAAATGTGCACCTGAATCACAGCTTTCCCCACAGCAGAGTTTGCACCATTTTGAATAATGGTGTCTCCGGGTTTCAAATCTACGAAGTCCTTGAGCATCCGATAGGCAGTTGGGGGATTCACCTAGACAAAGTAGCGATTTTCAGCTTTCAGAGTACTTTAGCTGAAAATACGCTTCCACACCTGCAAAGTAGCACTTGCTTCCATCGGTAATTCGTTGTCTATCGGAAACACCTCAGTTTCCTTGTGATGACCGTCCGTTCTCCATATTCCTTGACCAGCTTTTGCAACGGACACTGAATCAGCCAACACCGAAGTACAGCCTATTTTTTATTGTACTCCTTCACCTAATCTGAACACAGCTTATTCGTAAACAAAAACGGTACGCATCCTGGAAGAGCATGCGAATTTCAAAAAAGCATCAATACAGCTCCATATTCGACATATCATAGCCAACGCATGAAAGTGTCAGCCTGACTGAACTAGAGGTGATTATTACAGCAAAGAGACCAATAACCACACGCTTGAAAGAAGATCACCTCGCGGATAGTTTACTTTTCCACGATGAATAAAAACTGCATAATCCCTCGAAATAACGTGCTCTAGTTCCACACGGCCATAGCCTTCATTACCGGCTACTGCTGGAAGAGGTGGTTTTATTGGGTAAACACCTTGTAGCGTGTTCAAGTCAGCTGGATTTATTGGTGCTGCAAGCCATTTCACATGCACGTGTCCAGCAGGTGGTTTGTCAGGTAGATCAATTGTTTGTAATTTTACTACCTGTATTACATAAACTTCAATTTCCATTCAAAAGCCCATACCAATTCACTACATAGTTACCTTGGCAGGGTCTCCATATTCCGCGTACACCAATTGTTTAGCACATATCCATCCGCGCCGAAATTATTCCGTTACGCAAGGACAACATCTGTATCAATTCCTGAGATACACTTTCATGCAGTATACAAAGGAATTGTGAAGAAATATTATAGACACCACGGGAAATGAAAATCTTCCATGCATCAATCAGTCCAAATGACATGAAAATTTTATTCGGTAACAAAAGAGAGGAACCAGTAACAGTACATGTTCAGCGAAAATGTTTTGCAACTTTTGGTATGCAACGAGGAGAAACCGAACTATTTCAGAAAATCCCAATACCGGAAAGATTGTTCTCTAAATTAAGAACTCCTCCTTAACTACAGAACAGTCAGAGCAATAAAGAATAGAATTTAACAGATTTAGAGATCCACAAAAACAACTAATGAATGCAAACCGTAGCAAAAAAAATAATTTTGACAAGCCTGCAATATGACGATCAAATAGCAAATCTTATTCAGCGCAAAACACAAATTTCAACTCAGTCGCTATCGCTGCGCCTTCGTTTCCTTTCGTTCTTGATCCTACTGGGAGTTTTGTCCTCACTCTTGTCCAAATCACTTTCGCGATCGCTATCAGATCTAGAGATCACTTATTCAAAAGTGAGAATTCAACCAAGTGTAAGAAGAGAAACGCACCCATCTTTTCCACTTCGTACTGCCGCTTTTTCCAGCAGTCGCTCTCGTAGCGTCTCTTCGTCAAGTTCCTCAACCTTAGTATCCTTCTGAAAAAAAAAAACCACTTTGCTTGCTATAGTGGTAAGGGAGCAAAAATTTACCTTTGAATTTTTCTTTTTAGTCCATTATCCTTAATCTTCTTAAGCGTCTGACGTACTGGTCGCGTTTGCTTTTCCTGAGAAGAAACACACTGAAAGCCTTTGAAAAAATCAATCATAAGCATAACGAACAAACCTTGTCCTTCTTTCTATCACGGCTTCTGCTTCGTTTTCTTTCCTTTTTTATCCTTTTCCCTTTCCTTATCCTTCTTCCTATCTCTTGACCGACTGCGTTCACGTTTTTTCTCACGTGAGCGGGAACGTCTGCGACGATCACTAAACAGTGAAAACGTTTACACTGCGCTGACAGGTTTCGAGAGTTATGCTGATAGAACTGAATTGTCACAAAACTGCCAAGGCAAATTTCAACAAGCATGGGAGCTGTGGAAAGAGAACAAGTTGGAAAACGATCTCATTGGCGACCTTCACAAATGTCGCGGACTAAGCCTCAGCCAAAATCATAACAGGGGAGGGTAGGCAGCTGAATCTAAGAAATACACTTAGTTAGGCACGGTAGTTTGAGTGAAAGTTCCAACACAACTGTGTCAATGTGGATTGTCACAGAGAGTGCGAGATTACCATAAAAAATGTATGTCTGTTGTCTACTAAACCAGAAAACAAAAATGTGAACATTCACCTCCAAAAATTTTTGACCGCGTCAATAGATAGGCAACGGATCAACCGAGCAAAAAACGTACCGGCTTCGACTTCTTCGTCTTTGTCTACTTGGACTGCGTTTTCTATCGCGTGACCGGCTTCGCTTTCGCTCCCGAGACTTGGATCTACTCTTTTTTCGTTCACGCGATTTCGATCGAGAACGACTTCTGCGACGTCGAGGCGATCTACTTTTGCGACGAGGTGACGGTGAAGGAGTTCTACGACGACGCAGTGGTGAACGTGAGCGCGAACGTCCATCTAAACAAATGATTGCTTGAGGCACTCAATTTCTGCAAGAGTGCCACCTATTAAAGACGCTTTCGAAAGAAAAAAAGCGGAAGTGATAGGTAACTAACTCTTTCCCATGCGAATTGCTTCTTCGACCTCCTCCAATGCCTGGTCAGCGGATTTAGCCTGCGGTTTGATTATCGCAACTCGAGAATGCTTGGATTCTGAAGACAAATTTTCCAACCAGTGAACCTCAATAAAACTTGTGAAAATGTTTATGAGCAAACATCACTGTTACCTGTCCGACTATTTCCCTCATTAAAGGAATCTTGCGCGGAAAATTCTTGCACTCTTTCCTAACATGAATATGTCAGTTGTGATCACTGGAAATAGCACACAAAGTTTCACGCATGAAGATTCGGTTTCTGAAGAGAAACAAACGTACAAAAACTACACGTTATGGACCATCGAAGGACCAGGAGGCAGAGCCAGGCGAGGCATGGAAAGAAGACGGCGTTTGGCCGGCTACGTACCAGGCGACGCAATGAGAGAATCGGGTTAAAGCGCGCGATTTCGGAGAGTGGAGACAAATCGATCGATGGAATAGGATGGAGTAGAAGTGTAAGATGTGAATGCAACGAAGCAGAAGGCCAGAAAGAGCTTCTAGTGAATGCACTCCAAGAACCAAGTTTGAGCATCCCCGTCGCCAGCATTCGTGAAAGACGTCCGTGGGCAATTCGAACGCGTAGCAGCCTTTTCGAGTTTTCGAATTTCTAATCAAAACGAAAGCAATACTTCAGTTCTTTTCACTATTATCGTGGATAATGAGTCTCAAGCCAGTGATTTATGGCTGAAATAGAATCATGATTTTTCCGCGCAAGATTCCTTTAATGTAGGTATATTTTATTCAATACTCTTAAATAATGAAGGACCGAAACTACTTAAAGCGAAACTAACAGCGTGAGTACGGAGGGACATGCCGTGAATGTAGAAAAAAGCTAGCTTCAAAATTTCTAAACAACTTCGTATCCGATACTGTGGCTCATACATTGATTTATTCTAATTCGAAAGCCAATAATATAGGTTACGTAGTTGACGTAACCTATATTGTTTCGAATTAGAATAATCGTTTGGTATTGAAGTAGCGAAGGATCGTTAAGGTATTTGATGGAATCATGTCAGAGGCAAGATTAGGAAAGATTATCTCCTAACAACCGTGGAACAATCATTATATGCTTACGAAGTTAACGCGCACTCCTTTTCTGTCATGGTAAGGGTAAAAAATGGAGACCAATGGTAGAAACGCGGAGCAGGTAAGGGCCCATTGTGATCGAAGAGCTGTCAGGTTTGCAGTGAAAAAAGCAATGCTTACCGCAGGGGCCTTCCTTCATAATCAATTCCATTGTTCTGAAGAGCGATTGGTACAGATGTTTGGTTGGTGAATTCGACGTATGCATACGCACAAGGCAGCGTGTCAGGAGCTATTGCCATGCGAAGGTACATTACCTGCAATAGGGGAAACTTACTATATATGAGGGATGATTTGTACAAATATATGAGAACTATTGTGTGTTAGTTTGTGCTCGTGGAACCAGGGCCTCGAAGACGACGATCAAGTCGAAACGTTAGGCCGCTTTAATAAAAGTTCCACCGACCAACCTCGAAAGGCACAAAAACTAACACACAATATAACTTACTATGCCGAGGTTGCAAGAAGAGAGAAGCTGGAGAATATGAGAACTATATTGCAAACTTGCCTCTCCTACATAGCTGTTGAAAAAGTCGAGAACGGCTTGCCCATCAACACCTTTGGGCAAATTGCCAACATAAATTGTTCTTCTGATTTCCTCCACTTTTGCTAGGTCGGTATTTCCAGGAAGTGGTGGATAGGATGGAAGTCCAAGAGCTTCCATTTGTGGATCCACTGTAAGCAACTGAAATAGATGGAACAAATTAGTTGTGAACAAGAGCTCTACGGACACAGAAAAGTTTAGAGATCCTAGCTCGCTGAGCCTTTCCATAGCAAGGTTAAGCCGCAAGTTTTAACTTTAAAGTTTCAACATGAAACTTGAAATCGATTTTTGAAAAGTTGAAAGTTCAAAAGCGGAACTAAAGAAAGAAACGAGCTACAAATCAAAATTTTTCGATGTAAATCAAAATTTTATATCATGTTGCAGGAGCC